TTGCGGAACTCGTGGAGGATCCCATATTTGCATTGTTAGGTGAGCTTTCCGTCGATCTAGGTAGCCTTGAGCAGGTGCGAGATTTTCTCCGTGCTGAATTTCATTCGGATGATATTCCCAGCGGATTTGATCCTCAGTCTTTTAAGGCCTTGACCCCGTTGCTTGTGGGAGTCACTGATCGCGAGTATCCGGTGGCCCTCGGCTCCACGGATTTTTGGCGACGCCAAAGTTGCCGAGTAGATGGGCCTGCTAAGCGCATTTGAGATTTCGCTACGTATCTCGCGAGGCATTGTTCTGATTATGCGAGGTCCTCGGGAGGCTGGGTCTAATTTGGAGACCTGGTGGAGAAGATGGATGAGGATGGGTTTAAATACCAAACATACGCACTTGCTGCACACGGCCTAGCCGCGTTGCAGCCAGGGACCGTGGAAGTCCTAGGTGTGCTCCCTGAAGACATTGCCAGTATCAGAGAGACGGTTGTTCACAAACTGTGGCGCGACGTTAAAGCCTGGCCCCTTCAAGGGAAAGAGCGGGCTAAATGCCCCGTTCCCGTTTTCTATCGAGCGTGCCAGGGACATTCCACGTTTGTTGCCTCAATTCTGAGGATGCACGCGCCTTATGATCCTGGCCTAGCCAGGTGTCATGGACCCCTCCTCCATATCACTGACATGGAGACGTCGATGGAATCCATGGTCGGAGAAATTCAGTTCCCAAAGAGCATATCGGGGCTTTGCCTCGAGGCGGACTGCGAATTGTTGAGGCTTCTCCCGACCAAAAAGGATCCGAACATGCAAAGCCCATGCCATTTTCCCTCCTGGCTAAGCCAGCGTAGGGATGGAGAGCCTGCTCCTGTGAAGAAGCACCGAGCCATGGGCAAATACCCAGAGCCAGGAGAGCCTCCGACGATTGGGGCATGGCCCGCAGTGGACACAGTCCGTCTGTGGGACCAGCTTCCAACACACAGAGATTCCTGGCCATTAGTTCTTGTTTTCAATGGCCGTGTGCTCACCCGATTTTCGTACCAAGTCTGCCAGGACGGGACTCGTCCCGTGAGGTGCCGAGGTTCACTGACATCGACAAAGCTGTCACTCTTGCCAAAGTCGACGACTGGTGGGATTAAGACGTAAAGCGGATGTCATGGTCAATTGTCTTTAATCAGGAGTGGACCTCATTTGAGGTAAATTTTGATAACAATTCAATGCATGGTTGGATTCACACTGATGAGACTTTGACTTTGCACCCAGATTTTAGGCATACGTTGCCTGATAGGGCAGACGTATTCATTCAGTCTGTTCCCTAGGAGGATGACGGCCGGTGCCTCTGTGTTGGATTGCATTGGGTGCGAACTGGTTTTGGCCGCTGCCCCTCTTGCGATAACCCAGTGAAGTGTAAGTACATGGTTGCCCATGATTATTGTAGTGGCCTTCGGCCAGTGCCGCCGATCCGGGGCGCTCCGACTGATGTGATCCTTCTTCGCTCTCGTCCCTCCTCTCTTTTTCTTTCCCCTCCTCTCACTCAGCATTTATCCAGTGGCCGTCGGCCTATCCCGCCACCGTGCGTGGGTGGTGGGTCAGAGGCCTCATGGATGCTGGTTGCCCATGATTATTTGCTTCAGTCTCTTAGGCACAAGACCATTCGAGACTCGCGGTGGAATAATGGCATTGAGTTGACCGTTGTCAATCATGAAACGTTGCCTTGGGCACACGGTCACTATGCTTGCGAACGAATGCAACGACAGCGGAGAGCGTCAGCGGATGTTATGACGAACGTGAACAACAATTTGAAGCTGGAGCGCACATGGGCAACAAATAATCAGTACATCCTCATGGCTGCTTCAGGTCAAACCTTTGGAAACAGCCGCCCAGGTAGCGCTCCTGCTTGGATTCCTGAGCACGTCGCCGCCCAGCCGCCGGCGCGCCGCGCCCCTTACTTTCAGCATCTTGAACCCCTAAAGAGGCGATTCATGAAATGGATTGCACATTTGGCTGAGAGACAAGGGATTAGGGCCCCACCGCTCTCTGAGTGGTGGCCCCTGCTTTGGGCCACAGAAATTGATCAGTATGCGCGCCCCTTGTCTTGTCCCGCTCCGGCTGCTTTCGAAAGGCCAGAAGCACCTGACTCGTACATTGAACCCAATGAAGGTTGGATTGGACGGGAGCGCAGCCTGCAGGTGACGAACACTTTTGCGCCGACTCTCCGGACGTTGCAAGACGCAAAAACGGGAGCCGCACCCTGGCTGCCCGTTGCCCAGGACACCGGTATGGACGCCACAGGGCCCAGCCCTCGTGGACGCCCACCAGTTGCTTGGGCAGATCATTTTGCGGCGCGTCTTGCTTGTGAGTCCAGGTCTGTCAACAGGCGCAACAAAATGCGTTCTAACCACCCTCTCAAGTCGGTGGAACCTGCCGCCGGTCAAACCGAGACGGCAGGTGATGAGGGACCTGCAGATATGACCCTTGACTTCACCGCCGTCTGCGGGTCCCAGACCCAGCAGATGCTTGATGGGAGGATCGATTTCGAACTGCCCAATGGACTAGTGCACTCTCACCGCGATGATAAATCGTTGAGCATCACGCTGACGAAGAATGAAGCTATTGATGTGGCGGCACAATATGTCATGGAGTACACATGCTATCGCCCGGACACGAGCGTGACCGATCGGTTGCGCCTAACGGGAGAAGTAACGCATGATGTCCCTGACGATGTGCGACAGACGATTGAGTGGAATTGGAAGATTCCTGGTAAAGACCTTGAGTTGGGTCTCCGTATAATACGCGTGATTGTGATCGTCCGTGAGCTCATTAGTTGTTTTATTGCTGAGGGTTTTTTTTATTGCATACCCCTCGGAAGGTTTTCTTGCCCGCGGCGCAGACGCAGGGTGCGATGATGACAAGCGTATAACGGATGCATACGCGCTCGATTGCCGCATTCGTGCGGCTGTGGAGACAGACGACCTCATCGAGGAATGGGCCCGTGACTTGGGCAGACAGGGTCGCGCAGATATCCGTCGCCAGGGCGTGAGGCTGCATGGGGCTGGTTTCTGGCTATACCCATGCGTGGAAGCAACTCAGCTCCTCGATAAAGATGAAGGCCCCTTCCGCACTGCCTGCGGCATATATGGTACTTTTGTTGCTACTGCCGCATGGGGTATTGTGAGACATGCTAAGATGCAGCATGAGACACGCATTCATGAAGAGGGAGGCGCTGATGGGCCCTCCGACGGCCCAGCCGGTTCGGAAGGGATTCCTGCTGCGAAAGCGAGGCCAAGCCAAGCTGTTCGCCCAGGTCCGCCTCCTCCTCCTAGAAGGCCCGACGTCCAAGACGATCGGGCCAACGATGACGTTACCGAGTCTCCATGCTCCGCCGGCGGTCAAACCGGCGCGGCGGGAGAAGAGTATTCGTGGCATTCTTCTGACAGGGACACATGGGATTGGTCAAGGCCCGCGCGCGCGCGGCGGGGCCATGGCTGCTGGGCGCGCGGCTGGCGGCTACAACCCCGACGTCCACTACCCGTGCTACACGGGCGACGAATTGCAGGGGTACTGGATCCATCATGCCGCAGTTCACTGGATGTCCCGCGAGGACAACGAGCGTCGGACGTGGCACTTCATGCTTCCCGACGACTACGACTACTACTTCCGGAGAGAGAAAGGCAAGGGATACACCAAGAACAAGGGTAAGGACAAGTACAACAGGCCAGCTCCCTATGCTGGCCGTGGTAAAGGAGGCAGGTCAGCTTCGCCTTCTCGGGCAGCTGACCATACGAGAGGTTCATCGTCTTCGGACCCGAGACCTCCGTCTCCGCCTTCGGGGCGGTACCTCTAGTACAACAAGTGAGGGCATGCGAAGGCCGCGCGACAAAGTCGCTACGGCCCCGACCGAACGACATAGTCGTTTCGGCAGAGAGGTTTTATTTAACTATTGGTGGGATTCGTCGGGTTTTCTCCGGCCCTCAGCCCCCTGGCAACCACCGCTGAGCGGTAAAATGCTTTGGGGGTTCGCTCCGGTGGCTGTAAATATGTACAGGCCGGGTGGGCTGTGGCTGGTTGGGCTCTACGAAACCCGCCGCGGGGGGAGTAAATGTGCTCCTCTCCGCCTCATCATGCACTTGCCTCTCCTATTGCCTGCCTTGCCATACCTTGACATTGGTATCACTGTATACCGCAGCTGTGTATCTACTGCTCGAGTGAGAAAAGGAGCGCGCCGGGGGGCGCGTGGGCGGCCCGTGTCGTCGTCCGTCCCAAGCCGGACTCCTCACTTCCCATACTTGAGTGTAGTTGCTTAACGGATAACCGATAGTTGCATCGATGTCTCATCCCGTATTCTCCATCACTGAGCAGAGTCAACATGAGACCTTAATTCCTTTTGGCATCTTACCCCGATTCTCAGAGGAAAGACTGGAGAGGAGGAGCAGGAGGAGGAGGAGGAGGAGGAGGAGGGGGATGAGGAGGAATGTAGGAATGGAGGCAGGAGGCAGGAGGGGCAAGGGCAGGCTGGATGCAGGAGGGGGACCGTGAGGGAAAACAGGGACGAAAACATGATCAGGAGGAATAGGGACGGGGGAAAGGGAGGGGAGGGATGGTAGTCCGTGCGCCACCCAAGGCCAGCCATCGCGTGAGGCGGGGCGAACCTGTCGTCCGCATTTCATGCTGCACCCGGGAGGAGGAGGAGGGAGGAGGAGGAGGAGGAGGGAGGAGGAGGAGGAGGAGGGAGGAGGAGGAGGAGGAGGAGGAGGAGGGGAGGAGGAGAGGAGGAGGAAGCGGAGGAGGAAGAGGCGGAGGAGAAGGAATGATGATGATGATGATGATTATGATGATGCTGATGATGATGGGGGAGGAGGAGGAGGAGGAGAGGAGGGAGAGGAGGGAGGAGGAGGAGGAGGAGGAGGAGGAGGGGAGGAGGAGGAGGAGGAGAAAACACAGCAATGGTTGGGGGGGGGAGCCCAGCCCGCGGCACGGCCCCGCGCAGCCCTCCTGCCCTGCCGTCCGCCCACCACCCAGGCGACGAGGTCTGCGCCGCGGCGAAGGAGGCCCAGGAACCTGGGGGCAGCAGTACCTGCTGCGCTCGTCCTCGCCACGAGGGAAGCCCAGATCTCCGACGATACGATGTCTCACTCCCAGCTCCTGGCTCTTTTCTTAGATCTCGGCCCTCAGGACTCCAGGGCAATCGGTCTGGCCCGAAGAAATGGGCCCAGGCGACCCGGGGAAGGGATCGGGACAACTCGTCGGATGTATGGGAATGGGGTCCTGAGGGACACGGGCCCTGGAGGTTTTTGGTACCGTTCGGGCTCCCAGGGCCCTCCTTGGGCCCCTGGATCGTCGAAGAAACTACCCGAGGAAGGAAAAACTTGTCTTGGGGTACACGGACCCGTTTTTCTCAGGACCCGTTTCCTTCATGTCAACGTCTGCCTCCCCAATGTCCGCCCGTTTCTTCTTGCCATCGCCATGCCAAAGGCAATGCCGGAACTGAGAGACCTACAACAAGCAAAAAGCCACAGACCGATTTGCACCATCCCGCTGTTGTACCAATTTTTTGTCAGCAGGCTCCTGTACAATCAAGACCAGCCGCCTGCACCCGACAAGAGGCGAACAGATGGCCAAGCAGGTTTCCGACCGTGACGCTCTCCTCCTTGTCGTCTTCAACCTCATTCGAGAACGAGCCCGAGAATAGAACCGACCATTATCGACAGCAGCACTGTGTTTCCAGAAGGCGTTCGATTAATGGAGCACAACTGTTTGTGGGCAGTTCTGCTTGCACACGGCGTGGAACTTGGCTTTGTGCACACAGTGCGACGGCTTCGGACATGACAGAACAAAGTGGCGTGGGGGTAACATCCCCCCCTCGAGGGCCTCGGTGGGCGGGTGTGCAGTGCGGTTTCCGAAACTATTTTGATTCAAGGTTTCGAGACCTGTTGTCCACCCCCCCTCCCCCGAGGGGCGGTGCCCCCCCTTGCGTCCTGGCTCCTTCTGCGCATGCCAGGGTCTGCTGTGGGGGCGGTCAGCCTCGCGACAGGCGAGGTGGACGAGGTCTCTGTCAGCTTCTTCATCTGGGTCATCAGCGTGACCGTTTTGATCTACACGACCCTCACGTGCACGTTCGGGTGTTGCTGCGCCCGCTGGTGCACAATCGCACGTGCCAAGCCGACTAGCCTGCTGCTCCCGTCTGGCAGGATGACGTCCATCGATCCGACGGACGCTGAGCAGACCACATTCATGAGCATCAACATCGTGGCAGATTGGGTCGGCATCACGGGCACACGCGGCGACTTGAGCACCATGCGGGGGGCCCTCTTCCAAGCACTGGACATCGACGGCGCCGAGCACCCTCGCATCATCGGCGACCTTCAGGCCACCGGTTACGACGCGATCGTGAGGGCGTGCCAGATCAATGGCGCAGGAGACATTCCCCCCAGCCTGGACCTCACTCCGGCGCAGATGTCCCAGAGCGGGCTACTTGGGAGGGCATGCAGAGTTACAGTGGGTACGCAGCCATCAGCGGCGGGTGCGGCAGCGGCACAGGTGCAAGCGGCGGCTCAGAGACCAGCCACCAGCAACAGCGGCCGCAAGATGAAGATGGCAGGCACCATCAACCAGACGGCTGACACGGAGATCGACATCCTAGACGAGCGGGCCATCAAGACGGCGTAAAAGACGTACTACGACAGGATCGGGGCTTTCCCGCCAGCAGAGGAGGAGCTGAGCAAGGAACAGCTCTCCACACTGTGGGAGGCGTCCCAGTCAGGAAGCGCACCCTGCACAGGCATGGCGGTGTGGGGCCGACACCATCACATAATTCAGAAGAATATTAGGGTTCTCGGGGTGATGATCACACCCACAGGTGAAGTTTCATCAATCGAGCTCACTGGCCTCGCTGACTTCGAGGACTGGGGGGCGTGCCATGCAGCATTCAAAGTGGGATGCACGCCAGCCAGGCTTGACGCTTATGATAAGCACCTCAGAGGCCTTCACGGACGATGCGGGCACCAATGCTAGGCGCTCAACTACCAGACTGGTGTCAGAGCCAGGCTCGAACTGGCAGAGAGACTTCACAGAGTCGCCAAGGACGTGAAAGAGCGGGCCGACTCGACGGGTGCATTTCTACGATTTCAACCCCGCCAAGCCGTGGGAATTGGTCTGGGCGAGAATGCGTAACGACCTGCAGTTCTGGCTGCGCGAAGTTCAGGAACCTGCTGCACTGGTCTTGGCCCGCGCGGCGTCGCTGCGCCAGATGACTGACCACGACGCACCGATCACGCAGTTACCACCACCGCCTACGTCGGGGACCAGTGGATCCTCGAAGCCTCCCGCAGCACTACCCCCACCACAGCCGCCGCGCAAGGGTCCGACAGGCGGGGGTAGCGGAGGCGGGCCCGACTCGCCAGGCGGCAGCGGAGGCAGCAGCGGAGGCGGGCCAGGCAGAACGCACGAGGTCGGGTCGGACGGCAGTTTCGCGCACAGCAGGAAGGATTTCGAGTTGCGCCAGGCCTTCCAGACGGGCGAATGCACGGATCACGACGCTGGGGACAATTTCCGCAGGTTCCCTCGCCTCGAGCACCAGCGCGCGAAGTGCCTTTCCATACATCACGGCACGCGCCAGCGCGCCCTCAAGAGCGCCCGCCCGCCGCGCGCCGACAAGGCAGGCGGGGGGCCGGCGGGGGGGGCGGAGGCAGTGGTGGCGGGCGGGGGCCGACCGCCGTCGACGCCGCCGAGGGGGGCAGCGGCGCCCCCGGCGGAGTCGGACGGTCAGCCGCAGAAGAACAGGGCGATAACGACTCGAGTCCCGCATTGAAGCGACACCTAGCACCCGGCGACGGCACTGGCAGAAAAGCGAAGCTGAAGAAGGGTGCATAATCTACTCGCAAGGTCATCATCGAGCCAGACACCCAGATCAGAGAAACTATGTATTCAGTATGTGTCGGGGTTTCGGTTTTCTGCTATGCCTGGCGGCCCATAGGGGCCAGACGGATCGCGAGGAGGCGGAGGAGGAGGAGGAGGAGGAGGAGGAGGAGGAGGAGGAGGAGGAGGAGGAGGGGCCATCAATGGTTGTGGCTCCTCGCGTTTCTCCGGCCTGCCTCTCTCCCCTCCCCCTTCCCCCTTCTCTCCCTACCCCCCCCCCTCCTCCTCCCCCCGCCCCTCCCCCCGAAATGCGACGGGACGAATTACAACCGACCAGTCCAAATTCCAACCGTTCGGAGCGAATTGCAACCATAAATGGGACCAATTACAACCATGGGATGTTCAAAAGTACTTCTTTCTTCATCAGAAGTATTTCTTTCTTCTTCAGATGTGCTTCTTTCTTCTTCAGAAGTATTTCGGTTCCTTCGGATTCTTTGTGACTACTTAGGATTCCTTCGGATCCTTGGGGTTCCTTAGGGTCTATGGGATTCCTTAGGATCCTTCGGAATTTTTGCGAATCCATGGGAGTCCCGAAAAATCCTTAGGGGAAGGGGGCGTTTGGGGGGCCTTCTTGAGGTCTCTTTGGGCCACTCTTGAGGCCCTCTTGGGGCCTTCTTGGGGCCCTCCTGGGACCCTTATTGATTGTTCTTGGCGCTCAAATGAGCCCTAGAAGGGCCAACTTTCGAGGGCTGCAGGAGGACCAACTTTTGAGGTCAATACTACGATCACTACTACTACTTCGACCTACTGCTACGACTTCTGCTACGACTACTCCTGCTACACCTAATACTACTACTTCTACTCCTACTACTACGACCACTACTATTCTTTCCTGCTTCGACTATTACGCCTACTGTTTTCAATATTAGTACTTCTACTGAAGCGACGCCGACTACTACAACTACAACAGCAACGACTACTACTACTAGTACTGCTCTTCCTGTTACCAGCACTACCACTTCTGGTACCATGGCTACTACTATACTCACTAGTAGTACTACTAGTACTACTGCTACTACTACTACTACTACTACTACTACTACTACTCCTACTACTACTACTACTACTACTACTACTACCACTATTACTATTACTACTACCACTACTGCTACTACTACTGCTACTACTACTACTACTACTGCTACTACTGCGGTTGTTATTGCTACTACTACTATAAGTATTGCCAGTACTACGACTGTCACTACTACTTCCACTACTACCACTACTGAGAGTTACCACGAGGACTACCACTACGACTACTACGAGTCTTGGTTTGCCTGTTATGACCACGACTACATCACTACTCGTACCACTGCCAACACCACCATTACTACTACTGCTACTATTCAATTTACTACTACTTCTATGACGACTACTACTACTACTACTATTACTACTACTACTACTATTACTACTACTACTGGTACTACTACTACTTCTACTTCTACTACTACTACTACTACTACTACTACTACTACTACGACTACTACTACTACTACTACCACTACTACTACTACTACTACGACGGCGACGACGACAACGACTACTACTACTACTACTACTACCACTACTACTACTACTACTACTATTACTACTACTACTACTACTACTGCTACCACCACTACTACTACTACTACTACTACTACTACTACTACTACTCTTGGTCTTTCTCTTATTGGGATTATTACCATTACCACTACTACCACATTACACATTTGCTACTACTACGGCTGCTCCTATTATTACTGCGGCTGCCGCCGCTGCTATTAATGCCTAGTGCTACTACTGGTACGACTACTACTGCTACGTCTACTACTACTACTACTACTACTATTACTACTACTACTACTACTACTACCACTACCACTAACACTACCACTACCACTACCATTACTACTACTACTACTACTACTACCACTACTACTACTACTACTACTACTACTACTACTACTGCTACTACCACTATTACTACTACTACTACTACTACTACTATTAATAATAATAATACCACTACCACTACCACTACCACTACCAGTACGACTACTCTCGCTGATCATGATGCTACTACCTCTAATTCATACTACTACTACTACTACTACTATTCTTATTATTATTATTACTATTACTACTACTACTACGA